TGTTTTTATTGGCTGTTGTGCTTGCTTTGGTCTTGGTTTTACACTCAAACAAATGGCGCTCAAACTGGAACTTAAACATCTTTCTTTCAAGGTTGCGAAAATGATCGGTGCACCACCAGGCTACATTGGACATGATCAAGGTGGACAATTGACAAAGAAACTCAAGGAGTGTCCAAATGCTGTAGTGTTATTTGACGAGGTGAGAAATTTAAGTGATCCTCAAATTTTTTAGAGGTTTCTTTTTCTCTGGGCTCATCTCATTTTTTAATGTCTTTTTAGGTGGATAAGGCCCACCCGGACGTTTTAACAGTCATGCTCCAATTGTTTGACGAGGTAGCGTCTATATTTAAATTTGAGTAAAAAGTTGTTGTTGTTGTTTATTTTTTTAATTTGAGTCATTATAGGTTTTAAAATTTTTCATTTTGTCATTTCATTGTAATTGAGTTTTGATGAAAAAACCTCTGTTTTTGATTCAGGGTCGTTTGACGGACGGACAAGGGAAGACGATTGTATGTAAAGACGCAATTTTTGTGATGACTTCAAACCTTGCAAGTGATGAAATAGCAAATCACGCATTGGAGCTGAGAAGAGAAGCAAAACTAGCTGCTGAGCAAAGACAAGAAGGTACGTTTTGTTGTGGAGGCTTAAATTTTGCTAATGTTGGACGACGAAATGCGGGATAAATTTGGACAGACGTGCAACATTTCATAACACAAATTGGCACCTTATTCAAGTTACTCGTGAAATAATAGTTAGTCTGGCTGGAATACTAAGGGAGAAGGGAAGGAAATGAGGAAAAAGTTTACACAAACACGCGAAAACAAAGTTGGTCTTGGAAAGAAAAGTTTTTTCTTTTTTTCCAATGTGTATGCGTTCTCGTGTTGCATGAGCAGGAGTTCACTGTTTTTCTTTTCAGGTGATGAAGTCAGCGAAAAGGTTACTATATCAAGAAATTTTAAAGAAAGAGTGGTCCAGCCTATTCTGAAGGTAAACATTCCTTTGGCGATAAATTGCAACAAACGTGGCAAACATTTCCTTAGCGATAAATTGCAACAAACCTGGGTTTATGAAATTGAGAAAAATGAGTGATGTCTTGAGAATTCGTGAGTATTCTTTTTTGTTAAAGCTAAAGGGTAGTTATCATGACATGTTCTCTAGAGCTTTTTGTTTCTCTTCGTATTGACAGCTTCACTTCAGACGAGACGAATTCCTGGGTCGTATCAACGAGATGGTTTACTTCCTGCCATTTTCACGCCCAGAGCTTTTAAGCTTAGTGACGAAAGAGCTGGATTTCTGGTCAAAAATGGTCGGTAATGTGCTCTCCTGTAACATTTTGTAAATGATCTCGAGGAGTTGTTAGAGAAGCAATCTAAGTCCCTGCTGAATTTCTTCTTTGTTTGCATACAGGCGTTGAATCGACACGATATCCACATGACTTGGGATAAAGAAGTCTTGGATGTACTGGCTGATGGCTACGACGTACATTACGGAGCGAGATCGATAAAACACGAAGTACGATCGATTCTGTGTTCACGACTTTACCTTGTGGTGTAATTTTGCCTTCCCCCCCACCCACTAAAATACTCACACCTCTCGTTTTCGACGGCTTTTTGTCAGTTTTTTTCTCTTCTCTTCGCTGTTTTACTATTTTAATACAATTTAACGCCAAACATATGAGAAATTGATAATAACGTGAAACTTTTTCTTATAACTAGCAATGGAAATGAAGGGTAAATGATCGGCATTGAAGATAGAATGTTTTAACGGCAGATAGTGGCTGTAGGCAAGTGCAGAAGGAGTCTTTCTTTGTTGTGTAGTAACATATTCGAGGTCGGAGGACCCTCGCCTAAATATTTGCCATCTGAAAAAAATACCGAAACAAACGAGAACTGTAGCAGGTCTTTGAATTATTCTCTTACGAAAATTATTGGTTGTGATACAGGTTGAAAGAAGAGTTGTCAATCAACTTGCTGCTGCGCATGAGCGAGAGCTGATAAGTCCCGGATGCTCCCTGCACTTAACAGTGAGCTACCCCAAAGATAAAAATAGACGGAACTCAGAGGAAGTAGCACCTACCATCAAACTGCAACTCATTAAGGAAGGAAAAAAGAAAGTCGACATTGATGTTGGAAACTATTTTGTTCCTGACGATAAACTGTTCTTTTGAAGAAGAGAAAGCAAGCAACAAACGAACCGGAAACGGAAATGAATTTGAATGGGTAGTCAGCAGTGAGGATTCAAGACCGAGTAAAGATCTTTTTACCATTCCAGTCTTACGGACATGGATAAGTTGTTGTTCAAAGGCTCACTCGCTGACACAAACAGAATAAGTGGTTCTCGCACACCAAAAACAAGATTTTCTTAGAACGTTCATGGAGAGCATGTTGGCTGAATTGTAGTTCACAGCCTCTCGATGGTTATTGTGTGATCGAAGGAAGACTGACATGTGTAGATACTGTTCTGGTGAAGCCTATTTTAGAAATGTAAATATTGGTAAAGAAATACAACAGGGCCAGGATTGGAACGAACTCAAAGGGCGCAAAAAATAAAAAAAAGCAACTGTTCCATGGAAAAAAAAAACTCTTAGTACTGGATGACTTCCAGGTGCATCCAAAATTTCAAATAATGGAGAAAATATAGAAACCAACAATTTATTAAGTAGTTGCATTCATCATTATAGTGTATTCTGGTGATCCAGGTCTCACTACCCCTCCCCTCTCCTCCCTCCCCACTCCCCTCCCCATACATACTAAATTCCAATCATCATTGCCAATTGCGGTTGCCTTTGTATCAGGTTTTTACTAGGGTCTTGCTATGGTTTTTTTATATCAAAGCTAAAACTATTCCTGAAACTTATTTAACTCATTGTAACTTAGCAAACACAAAGTGAATATAACCAAAAACATTTTTGTGCTGGAAACATTCCAAACTGAGGATACAATTCGAATCCAAGAGGAACCATCACAGCTGTACCTCGTGTCTTTATCCTCCTCCTGAATCATTTCATATTATGACATATTCTTTTCCGTGTTCCCACTGTACTAGCAAAATCCTCTATAACGTATTAACTCAATATGTCTTTTAAAAAACGCTGAAACTGAGAGGAAACCAACAATAAAAACGAAGTAAAACGTCAGCCTAACTAATATCAGTTATTTTAAACCAGCGCCGCGAAAAAGAATTGGCTTTGTAGCCAAAGCAAAGTTTATGACTTGCGTTGCTTTAAGCGAACTGGAACATTAATTCCAGAAATCCGAAATTTCGAGTATAATAAGCGGGTTCGACATGTCGTGTGCAATACCTGATATTATAGAAGAAATTCTTAGTTCTAATATAAGAAGAGATTCTCACACTTAAATCTAAGCGAGTCAATACTTTAAAATAATTCACTAAACAATTCCTTGTTCAAGCATTGATTGAGCAACCTTGATGAAGCCTCCGATATTTGCTCCCTTGACGTAATCGATGTAGCTTCCATCTTTGGACGTGCCATACTGGACACAAGTTTTGTGTATACTTTCCATGATGTCATGGAGGCGCTCATCCACGCCCTCTCGCGTCCAGGCGCTGCGCAGACTGTTCTGAGACATCTCAAGCCCCGATACAGCCACGCCTCCAGCATTGGACGCTTTTCCTGGTCCGAAGAGGATTTTGTTTTTGTGGAATTCATCAATCGCTTCAGGTTCGGATGGCATGTTAGCGCCTTCCGCTACAGCATGACAGCCATTGTTGATCAGCATCTCCGCATCTTCTTTGCTAATTTCGTTCTGCGTCGCACAAGGTAAAGCTACGTCGCACTTCACGAACCACGGTCGTTTTCCTTCGAAGAATTCTGCGTCAGGGTACTGCTCCACGTACTCGCTAATTCTACCGCGTTTGACATTTTTGAGCCATTTAACGTACTCTATCTTTTCCTGGTTTAAACCACCGTGGTCGTACATGGTGCCTTGAGAGTCCGACAGGGTAACAACCTTACCACCCAACTGCACCACTTTCTCTGAGGCAAACTGTGCCACGTTGCCTGATCCTGACACTGTGACAATTTTTCCTCTGAAGGTCTCGCCCCGTGTGTTAAGCATCTCCGCGGTGAAGTACACAAGACCGTAGCCGGTAGCTTCAGGTCGGAGCAGACTTCCACCGAAGCTGAAAGACTTTCCCGTCAAAACCCCGGTGAACTCGTTGCGTATTTTCTTGTACTGGCCAAACAGGTAACCAATTTCTCTTGCTCCCACGCCAATGTCCCCAGCCGGGACATCAGTATTTGGGCCGATGTGCCTTTGTAGCTCCGACATGAAAGACTGGCAGAAACTCATCACTTCATTGTCGGTTTTACCCTTGGGGTCAAAATCAGATCCCCCTTTTCCACCTCCCAGGGGTAAGGTTGTAAGGCTATTCTTGAACACTTGCTCAAAGCCAAGAAACTTAAGAATTCCCAAGTTGACACTGGGATGAAAACGCAGGCCACCTTTGAAGGGGCCAATGGCTGAATTGAACTCTACACGAAAGCCCCTGTTGACGTGGACCTCTCCGCTGTCATCTCTCCATGGGACCCGAAAGATAACGACCCTTTCTGGCTCCACAATTCGCTCCAATATGTTACTGTCAAGATAAACTGGGTGTAGGTGAAGATAATCCCAAAGAGAGCCTATCACTTCATGTACGGCTTGATGAAATTCGTGCTCCCCAGGGTTTCTCTTAACAACATGGTTCATAAAGTCATCAACACATTTGAACTTCATGTTTCCATCCTACAAAAAGGAAAGAAAGAATTTTGTTGTGCCAAAAGACAAGACTTGGTTATAAAGTTCTTCGTTACTGATGTGTGTTCGATTCTTCAGAGGTTAATTCCAAGGATGTCAACACTATCTCACCGCAGTCCAAAATTGCGCACGGTAAGAGCGGTTCGAATAGTTTATCATTAAAATATTTCATATCTACCGTTGTACAAGGATTTCCGAGGTCTGCAGTAAATTGTCTGAAACTTGACTTCAGGAGGTCACGGTGAATTTTTGAAAAAGCTCTTATAAAAAATATTCCCCCTATAGAATAACACATTCAAAGCAATCTCTTCCTGGTCGGGGCGTGATTTGGCAGTGGTTATTAATGACGTCAACAAATAGGTATTCTTAAGCGCGCTAGTTGGCTCGCATGATCGCAGCGACTCAAGCAGGTGATTTGGAATAATGAATGACAAGTATAAGTGATTTGTTGATCTTTACGTTGACTAGCTAACAGTTCACTTATATTGTGCTCTTGTTTTCTTTCGCTTATACTAGAGTAAGGTCGTTCTCCAGAATGTGAGAAATGCATGACAGTTCTTGTGATTTTTTACGCAACATGCTGCGTCAGTCACCCAAGCCAGATGGTCACGCAAACCAAAAAATCACGCAATTATGGCAGAAATGAGCTTAATCATGAAATAATTTCAATGAGTTCGTCACCCTGCGATTGGTCATTCTGGGAAAGGATTCACTTTCGCTTTTTTGGTGTAGCTTCCGGGAAAAGGGATAATAAATACACTGGTATTACATTAATGTTCGAATTGTCGGTTTTGCGATCGTTCTTCCAGCTCGAAAATCACAGGATTTTTGCCTTTCATGGCACAAAACCGGCCATTACACGACGTTACGTCTAAAACAAAATACTTCTGTTGGATCAATTTATCACAATTATGTTAATACGTTGTGTCCAAAACAGGGAGCTGTTTTGGCCAACAGATGGCCCGAAACGAAATCTTTAATCATTTCCAGTCGACATTGTTTTTAAGTCGTCTTTAAAATTTCACCTAACGAGATTCAAATGAAACGTATTCCTACGTGCCACGAGAGAAGACTCGAAGCGTTCAACCCGATCAAAATAATTAAATTGTCACGCAAACCTGCTGTAGCTCCGGCGAAAGGAAATGGTTTACGTGGGCTTTCGATTTCCAAACTTGCATGCGATCGAAGTTAAATTTTGCTCGTTATTTACCTCGGCGGAGGACGGAAAATAAGTCAGCAGCTTTAACAGCTAGAGCCTTCAAATCTCTCGAATGGCATGTTCGTTTTTCGTCTTTTCAATTACCGTTTCCTTCCAGGTTTACATTGGATTTCTCGTACTCTACTCCGGAACAATTTCTCTAACGATTTCCTCGCACTTTGAAGCAAATTGAAGCGAAAGAACTACTCTTATTTGCAGCCACAAAAACGCTCATGATTGTGAAAATCGATAGCTGTAGACCAATCCAAGGCAGTTGTGTCTGTTTTTATGAACTCCACAATCATTGTCGGATCTTTCGTATAAATTTGCTCGATGTTACAAAGTGGATGGCTGTAGAGGTTCCTCCAGACATACTTAAGGCCTTACAATTAGCGATGCTTTAAACTTTTGGGCTCCCTAGCCAGCAATGTCAACAGTTTTGATGATCCTGAGGACAACGATAATACGTCAACAAAACTGGTCGACTGGTTCCAGAATCTTTTACTAACACATTAGCACTCTAGGAGTTTGCATTTGTTCTCCTCCGATTTTTTAAAACACATAAAATCTCTCACTATTTAGCATAAAAAAGTGTCTCAGTTAAAGCAGAAAAAGTCCGCTGAAATTCCTAACAAGCCATTGAAAAAGCTTTCATACAAACAAACTACGACGTAAACAATACCCACCGACATCTCGCCATTTTCTACAGAAGCCGTGGGATTGGGATAAATTCCTGACGCACATCGGACAGCCACTCGCCCAAGCAGCAGAGATAAGCCTCTCTGGGCAGAAAATCCCCTGGCAACAGATCGTAGAAACATGCCTGGAAGACTTAACTTCGAAAAAAATTCGTTACCGATTCAGCTTCGATTATGCAGTATATTTCACGTCCCGGCTTGCTCTTGTCGTTTTGTCGAATTCTGTTCAATATGGGGGAGTGCTGTGGATGTGGGCTGATGGAGTTATGATTGGCTAAACGAAAGCGAGAATTACAAGGGGCGCAGTTCTACACGAGCGACTGCAAAACAAACACGGAACTGCCAGTCGTTGGTAAAAAGTTTGAATAACGTCCAATACACGAGGACAATCACTTTTCCATACAAGGTTAACTGAACCATTCAAATGTACCTAGAGGCAGTTTGTACCATCAGTTGGTAACAACACCTCTTGTTATGGACGTCTTCCTGATTAATTGATTGTGGCTCATACCTACAAACAAAACCCTTACAATCACAAAGAAAGTGTTGTATTTATTTTCAGTTTAACGAGGGTTATACAAAACCAGCGATTTACATGGACACATTATCCCATGTCATGTGTTGGTGAGACTCCATGCTCATTCATAAATTCCCTATAAACCACACAACTACAAGTTTTTCTTTGTTTTGTATTAATAAAACAACCCAGACAAAATTTCATTAGGTAGATACAGTTTTCAGTCTATTAGTGCCCTTCAAACAACCAAAACTTTCTTGTGAGAAAAATTTAAAACATGTAACTTTTTGTTATTATACACTATTGAGGTACCAGAAGTTCAGTTTCCCTGAAATGAAAAGCACTCATGCCAGTTACTCTAGTATTACTGATCATCAACATTCCAGTAGACTGGCATAGGAAGAAAAGGGAAAAAAAAGCTTTCAACAAAAAGGCTTGAGGGTATAAAAACACAACACAGCACACCTGTATGTAACAGAAATTTACCAGCACAAGTCTCAATGCAAGACTACACATTCTCTCCTAATCAGGTGATTCAAGATTTCATCTGTCAACAACTGCTGAAATGACAAGATATAAAAAAGACAAAACAAAAATAACTGTATGAATGTTATGAAGAAGCTTATTGCTCTTCAGGAAAGAACATCTGAAGCCTGTGGAGTTCAATCTCTTGAGCTAGTTCTGGTTTCATGTAAATTCCATTAAATTAGCAAAATTATAAGTCTTATCAGTGCTTATCAGAGCAGAGTTTTGAAAATATGACTACACACACAACAGCTTTTTTTATATCAGCAAGCTTAAACTGTCTAAACATACATTGGAAATTTAGAAACTCCTTTCTCATACTTTCGCCAAAGGCTAAAAAAAGTGTTTGATAAAATGAGATTAAAAAGAAAGCTGAGGCTCTCAGGATAGGCAAAAGAATTGTGCAGGGTCTTCCTTATGAACCTAAACTTTAAAACAGTGCTTGACAAAGCTTCCCATCACATTTCACTGTCACTTTATCCTTTGTTAATAACCATGATTAATCTATGTGTTGCGCCTTCTCTACTGAACTTGTCATTTCATCATCGTCATCAGCTACACCAGCCACAATTGATCCTTCTATGTTTCCCCTTCTTTACCGAACTCGTCATTTCGTCATCATCATCAGCTACGCCAGCATCAACTCCAGCAGCTTCAATTAGACTGTTAGCCATCATCTCTGGTATCCTGGCAAAATCAGCTGGTAATCAAATAACACTATCAGTCTTTGATATTTACTTTCATTCTTCCAATTGAAAGTGTAGTTGAACTATATATTGCAATATGGGAATGTTACGGTTTGTGCTCTGTAGAGCTACAGTAGCAGCAGCAGCAGTGACAGTAGTTCTGTAGTAGTGTAGTAACAGCAGTAAATGTAGTAGCACTGGCAGGGATTGCATTAATGGTGTTCTCCCCTAATTGCATGACAGGTAGGCTGAATTTTCAAACCAGTAGTGCAATATTTTTTTTCTCTTGAAATTCCAAGAATTCCAAGCAATTTAAGCTGGTAATAAGAGGTAATACAAGCAGTAAATTTGACCAGTTACAACATGAAAAGGAGAACACTACATCAATTATGGTAAAACTTATTGAAGTAACACTTATTCTGGCCTTCACATACTAATTACTGAAAATGTGTCAGTATTATAGGAAAAATAACTAATAACAAATCAGATCTTGAGAGAAAACAGATTACAATTGTCACTTACCTGCTACTGTTGTCGCATAAATACTCCTGGTGAAGCGCTTGCCAAACTTGCCTTGTGCAGCTAAGCTATTAAACAAAAGAAAAAGAAACTTACTTAGACAGTTGTGAATACTTTTTTTCAGTTGCAGAACACCAGTGTCATTTATGGTAAGAGCAGGAAAAACTAGGAGGAGTTAGGTAAGATTTCCTTACAGCCCTATACTTTGTATAGGTAATAACATGGTTTGGATTTGATTTAGATTCTCCAAACTATTCCATGAGGAAAAGTATGGCTTCTGGAAGGGAGGATTACAATACTGATCAGATCACAGGAGTTGGTGGGTCAATTTGCTGCAGTTTAAGTAGAATTACATGTGCAGAGTGAAGGAATTTGCATGTTTTTTGTAGAGAACTGGGAATGTTTTCAATTGGTGGTTCCTCAACCGAAACAAATCACCCCTGAAAATGAATGAAGTGATCAAGTTTCTAAAGACACTGTGGTGCTGCGTTGGTGGGCGAGTAAAACAAGATAATTAGATTTCATCAAATGAGTTGATAAAGTAAATTAGCCACTATCAATAGTTTCTAACATGACACTCGAAACGTCAGCTTAGAAGCCCTGAAAATGGTGTTGGTGACAACTAGCTGTAGTTATATTGCAGTTCCAGTCCCTCAAAGGCAACCTTCATAGACATAAAAAAATCAAAATTTTTACTTACCACTGACCACCCGGGGACGATCTACCTAATAATCCAATCTGTACATTAATCCCTGTGAAGATGGGCAAATCAAAGATCATCATAAATTTTATACCGGAGTAGAGTCCAAACTTACACACTATATGTATACACGTGCGGTAAGGCTTATGTAATGTTTTACCTTCTTTACAGCTTCCTTGCTGAAGTCTTGAGGCATGGCGCTGCAGGAAGAAGGCCTAAATTAATGAGAGCTGATATATAAACTCACTGACATAAAGTTTGCTCTTACCACAAGGCGCGCTGAGGAAGAGAGCTTGGAAATCGAACGTATGCACCGGCTCGTCAACATGGCGATATTGATTTTTGCGCGTGCGCTAGTGTCTCAAAGCTCCCAATGGTAGATGGGATTGTTCTCTTTCGCGGCAGTCATCATGGCGGCTCAAGTCAGCAAGAAAAAGAAGGTCGGAAAACCTACAAGATCTGTGTTGTAACGATTTGAATTAGAATTTTCACATCACTGTAGTGAAATATAGTTGTTTAAGTCGCTATGCGATACCTTAGTTTGATATGATGTTCGAATTACGGCCAAGATTTAAGTGGATTTATTTTTGTCGTAGTATCTTAATCGCGAATGGCTGTGTATTGATTGCTAGCAATTTTCGGAAATCCATGGTAATAGCGCTGCTCTGAACCTAAAATTTTCCCACTCGAGTGAAGCACACAGCTGTATGTCAAATTATGAATCTAGCATTTCAAGAATTAATTGATTGAAGAAAGGTTTGAAAAGGAATGAAGCTAAGTTATTCGTATATTATTCCCCGAGATCCATTACTGAAAGTTTGGCTTTTTTTTTTAACTTAAAGCGGAACAGTGGGTAAATAATTCTTTTCAATATGTGCTTAAGTTGTTTTTCTAACTTTTTGATTGATATAGTTCGTTGCTGATGGCGTTTTCAAGGCCGAGTTAAACGAGTTTTTAACTCGTGAATTAGCAGAAGATGGGTACAGTGGTGTAGAAGTGCGTGTTACTCCGATCCGAACTGAGATCATTATTTTGGCCACTAGGACTCAGAATGTCCTGGGAGAGAAGGGACGACGAATCCGTGAACTTACCTCAGTGGTACAGAAGAGATTTGGATTCCCTGAGGGAACTGTAGAGGTACTTGTAGAAATCTTGTATTAAATTCTAAGGTTAAGCAGTATCATGAAGGAAAGCCCGGACGAATCATGTACTTTGATTTTGCATTTTATAAGTACATTTAAACTAATATTCATTTTATTAGTATGTAATATAGCAGTGGATAGCATTGGAGGCACGCACTGATTGGATTCACCTCCAAGCAACTTGTGTGGGACTTCCACCTGACAAAATTGTTATCATTGCAGAAATAAATGAGCTAAAATCCTCATTTTGTGCCATATTATCTCACTGTTTTAGTATTTACTAAAACAAATATTCACTTTCATGTCAGTGAATAGTGGTGGATATTTACCTGGCTGCTTTGTGGCTCAGTAAATATCCATCACTAGCTGCCTCCACTTTGGTTAATAGTTGTTAAAAAAAAAAAAAAAAAAAACCAGTGGTAAAGATGACTCTAACTTTGATAAGAAGGATACTTTGGTTCATGCAGTCATGGTGATGATTTGCAAACAAATGGCCTAATCAAGATATAGTAAATCATTCCAGTTAAGGTCATCTTGTAAGGTCTAAGGACATGACATAGCTCTTGAGGTTCTAAAAACAATTTTTTTTCATAGTTAAAGATTTAGTCTACTTGTTCCATTTTAGGGGAATTTTCTTTTGCTTTTTTGGTTGTCTGTTTTGCAAAAGAACTGGTATAACTTTTGTAGAACATCAAGATTGTTAACAGAAAATGTACTGATAATTAATTCTTCCCTCCAGTTGTATGCAGAAAAGGTGGCCACAAGAGGTTTGTGTGCTATTGCCCAGTGTGAGTCCCTTAGGTATAAACTGATTGGTGGACTGGCAGTGCGCAGGTAAGAATTCAGGACATTTAATACTATATAAAAGGACACATGGGGACTATTGTAAATATCTTCATATTTGATGGAATGAACTAGTTACAAACTTGATTACATGTACATAAAAGGGATTTTAGTCTATTGCCAACATTTTTTTTGAAGTGTCATTTTGAAAATGACTGTAGAAGAGTTTATTTTTGGCTCTAAAAGTGTTATCTTGACTTTGTTTCATGAAGGGATAATGTGGCTATTGAAGCTGGATAAGGGAATTTAAATTTTGTATTTGAATTGATCTCTGCATGGGAACATCTGATTCATCAAACTTGCTTTTTTAATTCAATAGCAGGGTTGTAGCTGAGATATTAAGCTGCTAACTGAAATTTCAAGCAAGGCAGCTCAAAGATGTTTGATATTGAACAATTTCAGTGATAGAATTTGGCTGGCTGCCTGCCTGCAATTAGTGACAACCCTGTTATAACACTGTTATCATTCAAATAAAGTCTCTTATGTCATTGTGAACAGGGCTTGTTATGGTGTGCTTCGATTCATCATGGAGAGTGGAGCCAAAGGCTGTGAAGTTGTGGTGTCTGGGAAGCTCCGTGGTCAGCGTGCCAAGTCCATGAAATTTGTTGATGGTTTGATGATTCACAGTGGAGACCCAACCAATCACTATGTTGATATGGCTATTAGACATGTCTACCTCAGGCAGGGTATGTTTGTCTTGCTAGTTCACTTTCCACTTGTGTCGGCTTGCCAAACAAATACTTAACTGATGCTCAGTCCACAAGAATACAGTAAGAGAGGCATTTTTTTTTTTTTTTGGAGATTGAGAACTAGGTAACTAGTAACTGTTCTCTTTAAGATAGGTTATCTAGAAACACTTGTAACACTTAAGTTGAAACACTAAACACATGCATCTTGAGTTGGCAGTATATTGAAATGGTACTCTCCGCAAGAATCTACAGTTGCTGCCTTGACACCCAAGAAAGTTAGCTGTAACCATCTGATAACAAGTTTCGAAATGAATTCATTTTGTCAGAGCCTCTTGTAAGATGATCCATAAGAAATTTTTATTTTAGAACACTATATAACTCTTACTGTTGTTAACAAAGACATTTTTGCCATTAGGTGTGCTTGGAATTAAAGTGAAGATCATGTTGCCATGGGACCCCACTGGCAAAACTGGACCCAAAAAACCACTCCCAGATCATGTCAGCATTGTGGAGCCCAAAGAGGAGGTTGTTCCAGCCACACCTATCTCTGAACACAAAGGAGGCAAACCTGAACAGCCAGCACCAACTCCTGGATTGTAGAGTTACCAGGTATTTGTATAATGTTTACTGTGATTTAGCCAAATAATTAAGGATGCTTTGTGGTGGATGGGACCTAAGCTATATCAGTTTTCAGAATTTTGACATTTGGCAAGAAAGTTTGTTTTTTTTTTCCCTTTCATTGAAGAGTTGATTATGGCAGTTCTCAGAGAAATGTACAAATGACATGGCCATTATCGTCCAAGAACATGATTTTCCAGGAATAGAACCTTATATCACTCTTTTATAAGAAGGGGCATTTTAAAATGTCTTTAGGGAGACTATCCAGAAATTAATATGTACCTTCATACTTAGATCCTGAATTCGTTTGTTTTTGTTTTTTATTTCTTTTTAATTTTAGGTCATCTACCAGTAAGGTTTTAGACCTGGAACCAAACATCCACTTTTTTGTTTTATTTTTCAGTTCTGAAAGCTTCAACCAGCTGTTTGCCATCTTGCTGTGTAAAAAATAATTCCAAGTATTGAAAATAAACAACTAGTAAACAAAGCAAAAACAGTTTGGTTTATTCTGTCACAGAGCTTAAGAGTAAGAATTCCAGTTTTTGTGTAATTAATCTCCCATTTCATTATTAGGTGCAAACAAGCAGGTTGTCTATAACAGGCCTTACTCACATCACATTTACCCTCAACATTACATTTCCAAACCAGTGAGTCCATTTCCTATAGTCTAAGAGAGCAAATGAAAATGGAAGTCCTATGTAAAAACAATCCATTACAATTTAATTGAAATAAATTTTAAATTCTGTATTCCCCAGCTTCATCAAACATCTCTGAAGCTTTATTAAGCTTTTCCAGAGATGTTGTCATATGCTGTGGTCAGCAGTAGCAGCCTTAAATAGTTATTTGAATTCCTGGAACTTGGATCAAGAGAAAACTTATCCTCATCCTCCACCCTGAAAATACAAGAGACATCTGAATATTACAATTATTTTTCATGACCTTCTCTGTAGTTAAACTACCTGATGGTGTCAAGCAGTTTTGCAAACTGACAAATTGACAATGGTTTGATATGGTCTGTACTCTAAACAACAACAATATTTGTAATCACAGTGGTCAAAATGATGTGGTCTCTTGAAGTGCAGCTGAGTAAGTCTGTACCAAATTTTGACCCCTGTGTAAGGGTAGAGACCATGCTAAAACACTTTCACTTTGTTTTTTACTATAATATCAAATAAAACCATTCTTTTGGCATGCGACAATTCCGTGACATGTTGACCATGCAGTGTTGTCTATACTCTTATCTACAACTGCAAATTGGCCAATCAGATTGAGACACCTACCAATTGAAGTAAAAAATGACTTACTACATCCAACTACTTAAGGATTATAATCTTATGTTAACTAACTCCATCTTGTTCTTCTAAAGACCATACACATTTTATTTTGTGTGCACCCAGCTTGGCTTTTGCAGCTCCATTCAGACTAAGTATAGTCCACGTGCAGTGTAATAATTGATAACATTAAAATGATACTTATAGAGTAAATCATTTACTTTTTTACTGTAATTCTAGAAGACATGGAAGTTTGTCTAATGAATATCACATACCTTGTTTAGATCCACACCAATGTCCCCAAATTTGGTTATTTTTCCACCAAATTTTTCCGGTTTTCTTGCTCTCTGTGAGAGGATACAATCAATAGAGATCTACAAGGTTTATTCAAAGCAGAAGTTGAAGACACTCTAACCACTTTGGTACTTACTGACTCTCTCATTTCCCTGTCTTTTATGTTCTTTCTGTCAGCCTGGATCTGTGTGCAAGTTAGACATGAACAGAGCAAAGTTATATACCCAGTGACGGACCCAGTTCTATCTCCAACAATTAGAGAACTTCCTCCTTGATATAAATGAGAATTTTTTTTTCTACCTGTGCTTTGATTCTTGCTTTTTCCTGATCCTCAAACTTTTTCTTTTCCAAAACTTTCCTTCTTTCCTCTTGTAATTGTCTTTCTCTCTCTGTAAGCTGTTTTTGTTAAATGAAAATCAACCTCGCAAGCTTCAAGGGTTGGTATTACACATTTGTGACTATGAACAAAACAATATTACTGCATTTTCTTGATGGCACTAAAACCATAAGGTTTCTACGAATACTTGCCATGAGAGCCATGCCATTTAGAATGAAGTCAGCCCTTTGTCGGAGTAATTGACAAAGGGCTAAAGCTTGAAACGTCAGCTTTGAAACTCTTTATGGTGGCCAATTTATGATATCAACTAATTTGATAAACCTAAATTACCCTATTATCCTCTCCCACCAATGCAACACCATAGTTTCTTTCAAAACTTACCTCCTTGATAACTGAAAAATAACTTGGGCCATTGGAACTTAGCTACAGAATTCTGCTTAGTGAGCAGAGAATTCTCCAAAACTCTGGTCTCTCAGCATTAATATCAGAAAATTTAATATACTTGAGCATTGTTCTAAAAGAAGATCAATTTGAAACAATCTGGCAAAATTAAAAAAAGGTTGATGACTTACAGGTTCAGAATTAGAGGCTGCTCCTGAACTTGATCTTGAAGGAATGTTGCTGAAAAAGGAAAGTAAAGTTTCTGTGGATAAAGGTGCAATCTCATGGGAGAAAAATCTAATTCTTTACATCATGGTAGGAGAGTAAGCGTTTGTATAAGTCAGGTAACAACAAACCAACACACAAAGAAGCTTACTTCAATTTCTTCATTAATATTTGTTTAACAAGTTGAACATCCTCATCTGATGGAAGAACAACATGGTCATTATCCTAAAGACAAATTCAGACAATTTTGCTTTTAACAAAAATTCAAATCAGCCTTATTTTAGTTTTTTGAAATTTAACTTTGTGGTATTTATTTAATTCTCACATAAACTACACAGTACCTCCTGCCACCCCCAACTGAAAAGAAACTCCTGAGCTTCTGCTAGCTGCCACACTCTTACAGAAAATGACTTGTTTTGTTTTTTAACCTTTCGATATTTTTCATCTGTTGGAGATCTAACTATGTTACTGTGGAAAAAAAGACGCAACCCTGTAATATCATGTCAGATGATAGGTAAAAACTAAATAAATCAATTAACAAATGAAATAACACTCAAATCTTTGACAGAGGAAGTCGCTGTTGACATTTAAGTTGCAACCTCCCATTATGGTCCAGAAAGTCTTCCTTCAAAACAGTCCTCCTTATTTTTACTTTCCTAAAATTTTAAAGCACGTACTCATTATCAGCATAGCTTTAACTACAAGCTATCAAACAAAGTAGTGGAAAACGAGTTAAACATCAAGCTTGTGAGAGTATGAACCGTAAAAATCCTCTAAATATTAAATAGTTATAGCTTTACTTAGCCAGTGTTAATAGTGTTTCTATCGCTTTTCGAGCAGTTTCACGATCATGTTCTTTACAAAGCGATTCCAGTGATGAAATCAAGGATTGTTCTCTTTCTCCTTCTCCAAGCTTACTTCCGCCCTGTGAAATAAAATGAAAACAGCATTCGACTAGGTTGATATCAAAGGCAAAAAATTACAGACCACAAGTTTACGAGTATAAAATTAACGTAACAAAATCTAAATCGAAACCAAGACGTACAGAGTTGGAAGCCATGTTACTTTGTGGTGAATCAGCGTTTGTCAAAAAGTTCACATATCATTACATGACATATATATTTGTTGCAGTACAAGCCGCTGCTTACATCAGGCTCAGATTTAAGAAATTTTCTCGTGTGCGCTCTCGTGAGCGTCGAACATTGTCGTTGATAAAGAAATAACTTCTCGGTCTTTGTTATTGATTTGAGGAAAATGCGGCGTTGAAAGTTCTATATAGAAACATAAATGAATAAAAGGCCACTATTTCTGGGGAGAGGCCGGGGACGTGGCCGTGGAAACGAGCAAAACAGTACAAAGCCGACTGGACGAAATGTAGGTACACTTCCTTCCTCTTCAAAATGGGGAAGTTCAAGTAGCGCTGTGGCCAATAATGGAGAGTCTCCCCAAAGAACTGAAGTGTCCAGAGAAAGACAGGAAAAGGCGAATAAAATAAAAGAATCTGCGAAAAAGTATTTGGAGAAATTGGACGACGAGTTTGAAGAGTCTTCGGAGGATGATGAAATCAACGACAGTGAAATATTGAACAAAACACTCCAGGAGTACAGGAGTACCTCACAAAGTATGAAGTATAATGAAATAGATATTGTTAAACTGGACAGTTATGTTAGTTAATGTTAAACTTTGTAGAGAAGGAAAAATTTTTACAGCGCTGAAAAATGCACATATTTAATTTAGCATTTCCCCTCCATTCCCAAACCCTCCTCCCTCCTTTCTCCTTTTCATTCCTTGAAACATAACGAAAGGCTGATTCATCTTGGCTCCCAGACATTATTCAAGTCTTGCAAGATCATCCCTTTTGTTGCTGTCAAGCAAGTTTTTGTGCATTATGCCCTAAAAAAGGCAGCCACCCCCCCCCCCCCCTCTCCCCTGCTAAAAGTGGAGCAGACAACGCTGGCTCTTTTTTGTGAAAAGGGAATGCTACATGCTGGAAGACTTTCCTGGAAACTGAAATCATCATTTGTCTTTCTGAGCTTGGAGGTGCAGTAGTGATTCCCAGAATTGAGATTATGGCTTCAATCAAGAAATTTGTGTGTCAACTTTATCTCCCCAAAATCTCCCCGAAATGTTGTCTGTGACAGAACCGAGTTGGTTGCTTTTTAGGAAGAAACAAGCCCAGTCAAATAGGTTGCCCTTGACCCAGGTTACTCTTCAAAAAGCAATCTTGAGAGCCCATTATCAACTTCTGTTGTGGAAAAATGATGTGGTAGAAAATCCCACCTGGCCATCAATAAATAATTTTAGTTGGACATGGGATAGTGGAGGGGAAGCACCAAATTAAACATGTCTATTTTTCTAGTGTAGTGGCCTGCTTTCAGCAAGAAATTCCCATGGAACTTGAATTATGTATGGTGAAGATGACTAATGGGATTGCTTGGGCAGGCTAAGTCATTCCTGAGCCAATTTTGCTAGTGCCATGAATGTCATCGAAAGGCTCTTCAACTGATTATGCTACTAAACTTAAGCGCAGGTGTTTTCATTTGGTAAACATGACAGTCAGGCTCCAAACTTTGGTTACTTCATATGTCCCAAGATCTTAGCAAACCAGATATCCACAATCGCTATAATTTTTTTTTTCTGAAACTAATTCAGTAAATATTAGGGGGCTATTTGTGTTCATTTACAAGGTTTTATCTGTACTTATCAGGGAATTTGCTGCATTTCTCCCCTGTAGACAATGAGGCAGACTTGGGCAAAACTGCCCAGTACTTGATTGATTCCTGTAAACCTGGCTCAAGTGTGTGTTTAATATGCATTGCTTCCATCAAACATGTTGATGCTGTGAGTATAAGTTGAATATTGTTTATATCTTTTATCATGTATTCTCACTGGATTCTGCCATTTAACCCTTAAATTCCCAAAGTGCAATTAAATAATCCTGCCTTCTGTCTTCCAATTGTTTCCATCCAAATTAGTCAAGAGTATGTAGTGCTCATTCAAGATAAAGTTTTCGTGGTTCTCAAAACCAGGGAGAAGGTGCCTCACTGCATGAAGTAGACAGCTGACAATTTAGCAATTCTAACATGCACTGGCAATGTGATATCCCCTGGGATAAATAACATTTTTGTTCTACATCTAGCTTCAAAGTGAACACAAATCCTAGACTTGCAAAAGCGTAGCTTTTTATTCATTTTCTTTAAATGAGTGTCACATGGTGATAGCACTGATGGTCCTTAGGAGAGACTTGAGTCTGCAATATTTTTCAATGCACTTGATTTTGACCAAGAAGGGAGGGTTACAGAGGGTGTCAGAGTGGTATTAGCCTATAGGTGTTAAAGTGCTGTCAAATTCTGTCCCATTCACATGTGAATTTCCTGGAATAAGCACACTTTCATGCATGGTTAAATAAACTGCTACACAAGAAAAGAAAAAAGAATTGGCTTAGGCAATTGGCCCCTAACAATGCAAGAGGACTTTAAGGAATTATGAATCTTCCTAAGAAATTGTTTGATTTCTTTGAGCAATAAATTTTAGATATTTTAGTTTGGGCTGGCTTGCTGAAATACCTTTTCTCCTTTAATAAAACTGCCTTGAAGCTCAAGAAACAAGATCAATGTTTGTAGAGACTCCCTCCTGAATGAGTTGGGGATTATTTCTGCAGCCTTACCTTATGTTTTACTATAATGTTTCCAGAATCACCTGCAAATTTGTTAGTTAGAGACTGGTGGGATTGATAGTTCTTTCCATAATGGTGTTTTGGTCATAACTGATCTTATACATAGTCTGCTCTGGTTTGAAGAAAATCACAGGTGAATTGCATACAAGCTCAAGGGGCTTAGCTTCTTCTAAAAATGCACAAAAATAGTGAAACTTCTTTGCGCAAAAAAACGTGAATAATTGTATTTAAGTATCACCCTTATCGACTTGGTACTGAGCTAAAAGCAGAAAGGAACAAACAGGTAATTCTTTTGGCAGAGTCAGCCTTTTCTCCACGATGTCTCGATTCCGGGCATTTATCGGTTTACTATACATATACAACTTGAAACAGATGAAGCGTTTTACAATGTGTATTCCTAGTAAAAAGAAAAGGGAAAAAGCCCATGGAAAAATTTGTCACCAATTTTTGAATGCTGCCGAACCTAGGAGGATATATATATATGTTATTTGCCGGCTGGGAGGTCCGTATGGTGAAAAACTGTGACCGAGGTCTTGAAAATACTGCCCGAGGCCGTAGGCCGAGGGCAGCATTTTCAAGACCTCGGTCACAGTTTTTCACCATACGGACCTCCCAGCCGGCAAATAACATATATTTATCTAAATGTGACATAAATTATGTTGTTTCATATTCAAGCTAACCTCTTTTCAGTAGAACTGGCAAGTGTAAAAGTTTGCTCAGTTCGATACAAATTCCTAGAAAATACTAGCCCAGTTCAAAAAAACATTCTTTCAACATATTCTACCTGTTCATCTTACTTCGCTAGTTTTCTCAAGTCAAATCTAACGTATAATGCCTGCATTTGCCGTTTTCTTTTTGTGCATGGAAAGGTTGTTTAGCCTTTTTAAAGTAGGGAAATATCCTAATTTTTCATAAACCGTCCTTGGTTATTTCTCTCTGTTGAACTAAACTTGATCTAAATCTTTGAAGATTTTTCTTTTTAGATTCGTTAGTGTCGGTTGTTTATGCCGAAATGAAAATTGTTGTAATCGTACCTATCAACCAGTTTGAACAAGCAGGATACCACTTGTAAATTAACCGAAACTGATATTAAATCGTCTTCATTCGGCGCCTTTGTTCAGGTTATCTTGTAATAGAGGTTGTGATATCTTCCCTATAAAATAGGAAGGGCTAAACATTTCTTTATCAGCGGGAAATGGATAACGAGGAAAATTTA